ACTAAGCACACACAATCCTACCAAGTCTACACAAGCCCCTTAAGTCCCAACAGCCCACAATAGTCCACACAACCCAACTAAGTCCTCACACAAACAATACAGTTTAGACTGATCTTCAGTACAAACAAAACTTTGGTTTTTATCTGTAAAGCTGGCTTTTCGATACCAATATTTAGGAATACAAGCTCCAAGATTTCAGTGAAACCAATAACAAAATAATACATAGACCTCGGAAAAACTTTGTAGAGCCACAATATAATAAGATTCACAAACTTTCTTCAAGCTTCCTAACACAAGTCGTGAGACCGAAAAAAGATGTAGTATTTCCGCTACCATTGCCTGATTACCTACACCCATGTAGTATGCATTAATAAAGATATGCTACCTCATCATAACCTTATCTTACCTCAAAATATTCATTACATACCTCAACATATCTGCATAGAAACTCATAGCAACAATATGGTACCTCATCGGTTATAATGGTGCCTCATCATAATAATATATTAGTACCTCATCTAACCATACGTAAGTAACACATCAAAAAATAGTGCTACCGGGTACCACGTCACAACCACATGACACCTTATTATAGCCTTTTGATATTTCATAACCTTTTGATACATCATCATGACCTCATAGTACCACCAACCAAATGGTACCTCATGATAACCATGTGATCACCTATAAATATAACCCATCTCTACAAGTAAGTCTTCACAACTGGCCAATGAAAAATGCATCTAATATTTCCACATGAACGTTACCGCCAGTTATATATTCCTTCAGTAACGTTACCAAAAGCAGTGTCGCAATAACGTTATCATCTTCCCACAGCTGACGTACGCTTGGTGCAAATTACGATCCAGAAAAATACGATCTATTAGGACCAATACGTTCACATTATGCATCCAGAAACTTTTTGCATCAGATGCTTTATGCCATACATGGTCAAATAAGACAGAAATATAATCATAATATGGAACTCTTAATCAAATCATAATATCGAGCTCTTAATCGAATTATAATATCGAACTCTTAATTTTATTTTCCTAAGTCGGAACAGCCACCGGTTATATATCATGCTTCAGGAACAGGATAGCTCGAGAACTATGATCAAGTTTCAAGAACTTGATCATAGTTGGTCGTTCGTGAGGTAAATTTTGCGTTTAGTAAATCGTTCACGTAGCAAGAACCGGAGCACGTTTACACACACAATGTATATGTGGATCATACAGCCATATTCATTTCACTTATTTTCGCCCTACAGCAGAGTGATGGCAGCGCATGCATTGAATGCCAAGACGATGATTCATTTACTATTTTTATATGCATATGTGGATAATCTGGATAGTTAATTAATCAGATGGCCCCTAATGAGATTAAGAAAACTTTGCAATTATCACTAATATATAGAAATAATATCTTGATAGTGACAAAACGTTACAAAAATACTTCAAAATTAAGCTAATTTTGGAGGAGCACAGTAGTGTTGTGCAGTGCAGTACATGTGCACCTTATTGTCAACGTCGCGTTACTAACTGCACTAGTGACACCAGCAGCAGCACTAGTGACACCAGCAGCAGGACTAGCAACACCAGCAGCAGCACTAGCAACACCAGCAGCAGCACTAGCAACACCAGCAGCAGCACTAGCAACACCAGCAGCAGCACTAGCAACACCAGCAGTAGCACTAGCAACACCAGCAGCAGCACTAGCAACACCAGCAGTAGCACTAGCCACACCAGCAGCAGCACTAGCAACACCAGCAGCAGCACTAGTGACATCAGCAGTAGCACTAGCCACACCAGCAGCAGCACTAGCAGCTTATAGCACGTCTATCTAAACTATTTGAATAACGAAGCACTAAAATCAAAATCAAAGCTAAAATTATGGAGAACATACAGCAAGAATTTGTGTGGAACACAAGGTATATTATACACACAACAGCTCATCCCAGCTAAAATCTTAAGTACAATAACTACTAAAATAGTGTAAAGCTTGTGTTTTTTAAAAACCTTCATTCTAAATGTAAAAGCGATGATCTAATTTTTTTTTTGAAACTACATTGCATTTTAAAATCTCGAATGGTGAACAAAATTTTATTTTCAAATTAAAAATAAAAAAACTTAATTGAATAACTCAAGTGATGACCAAATTTGTTTCTTGCAAACGACTGAATTTCTAAGGATTGAGACGGCTCTATAAAAATGTAGGAGATGAATTAAAATCGATGAATTAATCTGAGAAAAAAACACATTTCGTAAATGAATTTGTAACCGTACTCCGGCGGTAAAATAGCAGAAAAGCAATAGTTTCCAATTGAATTGCTTTTACGATTAAAAAACTGAAGCAAATGCCCCGGAAATTTAAAAAATGCAAGTTTGAAAGATACCGGTAATTTCTAAAAATTGTGCAAAATATTCGAGGACATGGCGAATATTTGAGGTTAAATGCCGATATTTTCGACATACGCTAACTACGAAAAAAAGTTCACACGAACATAGGAATGCGTTGCACGAATGGCCAGGTTGTAGCGACTAAACTCACAATCGCTCCTTTCACAGCAATATTAAATTAAAAAAAAATACATCAAGCGAGGGCGCTATTGAACGCAAGATTACTGTTACTGGAAGGAAAATGCTAGCAAAAACAACATGAAATTTGCCAGTAATGCAAGTAGAGGTAATAGTTAACTGTAGTTGCCAGTAATGCGAGTAGAGGTAATAGTTAACTGTAGTTGCCAGTAATGCAAGTAGAGGTAATAGTTAACTGTAGTTGCCAGTAATGCGAGTAGAGGTAATAGTTAACTGTAGTTGCCGGTAATGCGAGTAGAAGTAATTGTTAACTGTAGTTATATTATTACCTGAAGGTAATTCTTAACAAAAAAGTAGTAACTAAAGAAATGCCACTTTGGTAATTTCCTTAATTATAAATTAACTATTGTCAATTAGCGGTATAATTTTAACCGAAAACGCCTATGTCACAAGAGACCAATCATTTATTTAAATAATATAAAGACTAATGGGACACACATTATCATCCATTATTATCGACATCACAATTATGTTAATTAGCAGCATAAGCTCATCACAACCGTGATAAATAGAGAATTAGATTAATTAAGCCTGGATGATTAAGCCCTATGATTATAAATAATATTAATAAGAAAATGGCTTGTAATCACTTATCACTATGATAAGAAAGATAACCCAAAAGATCGTAGATCAATAAATTATAAGAAAGATAACCTGGCAATGCTACCATTAGGATCCAAAAGGATTTAAAAAAACGAAACCATGTTGTAAAAACACAACGCTTTCGTAAAAACTAGTAGGTCAAAAAACGAGACGATGTCATAAAAAAGACAATGTCGTGAAAACGTGTCAATGTTGTCAGAACGAAACGGTTGTTTGAGAAGAATTTGATGCCGAAACTAATCGGTGTCGTAAAACGAATTCACGTCGTAAAAAAACGAATCGATGTCGTAAAAGCGAACCATGTCGTAAAAAACGAATCGGTATCGTAAAAGCGAACCATGTCGTAAAAAACGAATCGATGTCGTAAAGTGAACCGGTCTCGTAAAACTAAATGATGTGGTAAAAATAAATTAATGTCGTAAGAACGAAATGATTTTGCAGAAAAGAAAATCACGGCGATATTTTAGAACTTGATTGCTACGACCAGCCGACCTGGATCATGGAAGGTAATGGTTATGTTGTTATAGTTATTTTAGGGAATGATTTAATATATAAGAGTATTATTTAATATATTAGAGCATGATTCAATTTCACGCATATCATTGGAAATGATGGTTGCATTGGAAGCATCCTGGCATGGTAGCATTATTAGTATTGAGCAACCTCTAAAATGACTCATTTCATCTTAATGAATAAGTGAAACTCTTGAGTATACATGAACTGAGAGGCCTTGATTCACTGCTCACTGCGCTGCTGGGTTCACTGCTCACTGCGCTGCTGGGTTCACTGCTCACTGCTCTCACTGCACTGCTGGGTTCACTGCTCACTGCACTGCTGGGTTCACTGCTCACTGCGCTGCTGGGTTCACTGCTCACTGCACTGCTGGGTTCACTATCGACTGAGTCAGTTAGCGCTCACTGCAGAGCAAATAACATATATAAACAAATTAAATTTCAAACCCTTAACATCAAACCGAAATTGTAACTTTGAGCTCTCTGCAATTTCAGTGAAATTGCCGATGCAATTTGAATAAAATTGCCGTTTCAGTTAAATTGTTAAGGTGTGGAAACGCGAGTTATTATTGAATTACATCATTCACCTACACTTGAGATGTATAACGATAAGTGTCCAACGATTGATCGTGAAATACGATTGCGATAACACGGTAAATAGAACACGATTGCGCAACACGGCGGGTGCGATAACACGGAATATCGATCGCTTATCGTCGACGTTGCAAAAAAAACACGCTAGACAATGCGCACGAAAATACGATTCAACGAAAATCGTCAATGAGCGAATTCGGGATCATTAAATTTATGCTTCAAAGCAATACATTTCGTAGAATTGAAAAGCTCGAAGAGAATTTGATAAATGTTGAAAAAAATGCAATTGCTTTCATTTGTTAGTTAAAATCGGAACGTCAGTTTTTCCCTCGTACGTACTTAAATTTCAAGTACCTACTTAAAATTTTATAAATACTCATTAATTCCTGATGCTCTAAATATGAGCTAAACAATTATTGTAAATGCAGCGCTGAGGCATCACTGTGATCATTACCATCACTACCATCATGATTATCATTATAATCATACCATCATGATTACCCTATCTTGGTAGGAAACTAGTTATCATTTTCATAATGGTTCGTTCCTACAAAGTCACCATCAGAATAAAAGAATTATGAAGATAATCACAATTATTGATAAGCTGATTACTGTGGCATCACCATCATTACCGCCACCATCCACCATATCACCCACACCCATCACCACTATTACCACCATCACCACTAATGGTTCAGTAGAGGTAGGGCGGCCGACCATCACAGCGGGCGTTGAATTTATCGGCGCGCATTAGGCGGCCGCCGCTGAACGGCTTCCTGGCGCCGCTGCGTGGCAATTTGCCGCTACTGAAATGGCCAGAATTGCCGCCATATTGGCCGCCATTTGCAGCATTATTGGCGCCAAAACGGCCATTGCGGCTGCCGAAATGGTTAAAATGGCCGGCATTGCCATTGAAATGTGTACCATTGCCGCCAAAATGCGGGTAGTTGCCATTGAAATGGCGACTATTGCCATTTAAATGGTAATGCAGAGCAGCCATATTGTGGTCGTAGGCCGGGTAATGGTGACGAGAATTGTGGTGCAAATGGTGATGGTTGCTGCGCGGCACATCACAGCTGTTGTGGTTGCCACCTCTGCCACCATTGCCATGAATTCCGCTGTTTCTGCCACTTCTGCCACTATTGTCACCGCAAATACCATTGACGTTAACGCTATTGCCACTAATGCCACTGCTATTACCATTAACGCCACTGCTATTGCTGTTGCTGCTGCCACTATTGCCACTGTCATTATTATTGTTGCTGCCGCTACTGTAAGTTTTGTTCTTGCAATTCTTACTGACAGAACAAGAAACTGTACCACTAGTGGCAGTGGTCGTAAGCTTGGCAGGTTTAGTTACATTTGCAGTGGCTACAAGTGACGCAGTTACAGCTGACGCAGTTACAGCTGACGCAGTTACAGCTGAAGAAGCAGTCGTGACAGCTGTAACAGTTGTAGTTTTGGCATTAGTAGCAGCAGATGTCACTGCAGTTGTTGCAGTTTTTATTGTAGAAGTTATAGTGTAACTTCGGGCGTTAGCAGTCGTGCCGACATCACTTACAGCTGTTGTTATAGCTGTGCTTGATTTAGCAGCTGCAAAACATGGAATAGTATTAGCAGCTGTAACAGGTGTACAGGTCTTAGCAGATGCCGATGTTTTAGCAACCGCAGCAGATGCAGATGTTTTAGCAACTGTAACAGCTACGCATGTTGTAGCAGTTGTAACAGCAGTATTTGGTGCAGTAGCTGTAGCAGTTGCACTAGTGTACACTGCTGTTAAAATCATTTTCCGCTTGTCATCAATCAACGATTCAACCGTTGAACTCTTGATGCCCTGAGACTCCAAATTTGATGTTTCAACGCAGTTCTCCACTTCAACTCCAACTCGATTTTCAGCAGCTGCCAAAAATTCATCAGCATCATTCATGGGTTGGTTCTGCAATACGTGTTTTGTAGCACGGCTGCGCTCATGCAGCATACCACGCAGCATACTCATTATGCGCTCATCTTCATCATCTGATTCATCACTCGATTCATCATCATACTCATCATCACATTCATCATTCGCATCACTGCATTCATTATTCTCGGCATCATTTTCAGCATCTTTTCCGCAGGTGGCAACGCTATCTTTTTGGCAAGTGGCAACGCCATCTTTCTGGCAAATGGCAACGCCATCTTTTTGGCAAGTGGCAACGCCATCTTTTTGGCAGTTGGCAACGCTATATTTTTGGCAAGTGGCAACGCCATCTTTTTGGCAGTTGGCAACGCCATCTTTTTGGCAGGTGGCAACGCCATCTTTTTGACAGGTGGCAACGCTATATTTTTGGCAGGTAGCAGCAGCAATTATTTTCAATTCATCATTGGTAAGATCAATTTTATCAGAGCTTACTTTATGATCAGTAATGACCCCGGCGGCCGCGACAATCCCTTTGTTGTTATCAAAATAACCGCCATCCCTGCCCGACAAACTGCCACTTTTATCAAGACAATCTTGGTACAAATCAAGGCTTTTACCCTCAACCCTCGGGTTTTTGCTGTGATGAGGTAAGACTTCCCTCGAATTATTGACAGACAAACACCCTGAGGCAGACTCCCGACCAAGGGCAGGGTCCTGACCAAGGGCAGGGTTTCGACCGAGGGGCTGGTCCAGACCAAAGGGCTGGTTCTGACCACCAAAGGGCTGGTCCCTACCACCAAGGGCAGGGTCCTGACCAGAGGGCTGGTCCTGACCAAGAGGCTGGTCCTGACCAAGAGGCTGGTCCTGACCAAAGGGCTGGTCTCGACCACCAAGGGCAGGGTCCCGACCGAGGGGCTGGTCCTGCCGAGGGGTTGTGTCGTCAGCAGCCGAAGGTTGGAGGGGCTGGAGTGTAGTGAGGGTAAGGGCGCAGTAGAGGGCAGTACGGGCGCCCCTCGTGGCGCGCACCACGTCACACAGACACTCCGACAGCGCCAGCACCTCTGCAATAAATAATTATATAATAATACATCATAATTAAATAAATATAACAATAATAAACAACTCCTTAATAATATAATAATACAAATTCAGGGTTTGGCTAACAGGAATCACTTATGCTACTTTTTACTGACCAGGATGATTTTAGCTTCTTTTAACTGACTTTTGAGTTTCTTTTTAACTGAATTTTTACCTACTTCTTATAGACTTTTTAGCTACTGTTTACTGACCGGGAGGGCCTTCTTCCACAGGAGACTTCGCACACTCCTCAGAATTTGGCAAGACTTCTGAAGGATTGCTGTAAATAACTTCTGAATCTTGAGTCCAAGTTTGCTTTTTCAGCAACTGCGGCATCAATGTTTTTTCAAACGGCAAATTTGGTTCCTCGAAAACTTTCTGAAATTCACTTTTTTCTAAATTTTGACCCAAAGAAGCCAGGGGATTTCCGTACACTTTCTCCACGTTTGGGAAGTGCATCTCAGGTGGAGGGAGATGTCGTCGCTGGTGGAAGTGTGGTGGAGGAAGTATGATGTGGGTGATGTCAGCATGCCGCAGGGTGGTGAGAGTGGTGAGTGTGGAGTGCCACAGCGCCATGGCATGATGAATGCCACGCTGAAGTGCCGCGTTGCGAAGGCGTTCCATTTTAGCCACAAGCGTGATCACCTGAGAACAATGGTTTGAAGTTACGCAATTGAACTCATATATGTAATTTTGAGTTGTACTATTAACATAACCTCAGTTTTCATCCCATCCTTAATTTTGACGTTATCCAAATTTACCCTCAAGCTCAAGATGAAATAACATAGATAACACTACATGTAACATAGGCTTATAGATAAATAGATAACACAACATGTAACATATGCTTATAGATAAAGAGATGACACTACATGTAACATAGACTTATAAATAACATAGATAACACTACATGTAAAATAGACATACAAATACCAACATGTAACACAGGCTTATAAATAACATAGATAACACAACATGTAACACAGGTTTATAAATACCATAGGTACCACTATAGTGGCACCCTATATACATAGGTACACTATAGGTACCACTATACCATAGGTACCACACCACCACACCAACATAGACTTATAAATAACATAGATAACACTACATGTAACAGAGAATTATAAAAAATAGCTGACGTTACATGTAACATAGACTTATAAATAACATAGCTAACACTACATGTAACATATACTTATAAATGTAACCACTACATGTAACACAGACTTATAAATAAGATAGACCTACGCTAGCATGCTCTCTGAGATGGTCGAGCACAAGTCTGTCGAGGCGTGTGGGCGAGACGGGGCAACGGATGGAAAACATCTATAGGCTTATAGATAAATAGATAACACTACATGTAACAGGCCTATAAATAAGATAGACCTACCCTAGCATGCTCCCTGAGATGGTCGAGCACAAGTCTGTCGAGGCGTGTAGGCGCGTGAGGGAGGCGGGGCAGCGTGACGCCGTTGGTGCTCGTCACGCGGCGCCCTGGGAAGCGACGCGCGAGTTCCGCTTCTGTTTTCTTGCGCTGGCGCTCAACTTGCCGGAACTGGTCGTAGCAAGCCTCGATATGGCGTAGCAGCTGGTGCACGAGTGGTAGTAGCCAGCTGTAGGGGGACAGGTGGTGGTAATGTATAGACAGTACACCACCAGCTGTAGGGGGACAGGTGGTGGTAATGTATAGACAGTACACCACCAGCTGTGGGGGACAGGTGGTGGTAATGTATAGACAGTACACCACCAGCTGTAGGGGACAGGTGGTGGTATTGTACAGTACACATTCAGCAATGAAAGTAAGCAAGTAGCGGAGCGCGGGAAGCTAACGAGCTTGTGCACCAGCGGTATAGTGACGACTGATACCGTATGCATAGCGTGGGTGACATATTTAACTCGCCTCATCTGCCAGCAACATCCTGAACTTATTTGATCACCTGACCTAACACATGAACATCTTTACTCACCTTATTTGCCTGTACGCAGCCAGGCTGAGTTCAGGTGCCAGGTGCCGTAGAAGCTCCAGGTGCTGCGGGCTGTTCTGCAGAGATGTCTCCGTTGGGCGAGTTAGTTCAGGTAAAATTTTGCTTGCGTTTAAATCAACTCCATCATGATGGTTTGTCAGAGAATTAACATTAAATTTACTCAGAGAGCTGAGCAGGTTAAGAGTAACATCATCCCTCCGGCCGCCCCAAAATTCAGAGTCGTTCGTGAGTTGAGCCCAAGTTTCGGGATCGAGATATCCCAGGGGTTTATGGGGATTAGGAGGCAGCAGAACAGAGTTTTTTGACGGAGCCTGCGAGAAATGTGGTCCAAAATAATGGTTTGGGAAATCCTTAGGAGATGAATGCATAGTTAGCTTCTCGAAGTTGGCGCAATTTTTGCTGGTCATGTAGCTGCCGTTACCAAAGCTCGTTATCTTGTAGTTATCCATGTTGTGGTTGAGATGCGGTTGGTGACGCTGGTGGTTGGTGGTCATAACACCTCGGCTGTTGGCATCTTGACCACTGAAAGGAGTTTGGCCTCTTTGTCCACCCATGTTATTTGACCAGTTAGGTTGTTGAGGTCCGAGTTTAGGAGGCACAAAAGAAGCATTGGAATAATTGATCTCACCTCTAGCAGCTTCGTTAAAGTACTTAGAACTTGAGTATAAATCAAAATCTTTTCCAGGAAATGAGTCATTTTCTTCAAGCCTGGGTTGCTGGAAGCTGAAGTTCCTAGAGAGCCAGTGCTTGGCATAAGGGTCTTGGAAGGAAGCTCTGCGCAGCATTAGTAATATTTCAGACAACGAGATATCAATGTTGCTAATTTTGCAATGATTCAGCAATACTGAAGCAAGTTCTTGCAGCGCCGCATCGCTCTTCTCCTCAGAACTGCCACTGGAGTTTGACCTCGCCATGCGCTCCTTCGCCAGGGTCAGGAAGAAGTCATCTGAGGAGGAAGGTGGAGGGTGAGCATTTGAAGGATTGAATCCTGCACGGTTAGCTGCGCTCGGTTCAAGGCAATTTCTGAAGGCTTCACTTCCACCCCAACTATGGGGAAAGTTTCCTGAGGTCCTTGACTTCCATTGATCCTCCGTTGGTCCTGGCTTCAAGTTGTGATGATTCGGGTTGAAAACTGGCAAGTCGATGTCATCGATAGGTGCAATGGCAGAGATTTGGTTGAGTAAAGTGATATTATCAATGAAATTCTTTTGGGCCATTGGATCAGAGGGCAATAACTGGCAGAGTTTGTCATCCCCTATTAATGGATCATTAATGAGGCTGTTACTTAATGAGGAAACCTCGTTCACAGAAATCGGTTGGGGAGATTCAAAAACATTTCCGGACATAGACAGGGCAGATTGACGTCCATCAGTCGGTTGTTTAAAAGAGTATGAAGGAAAAGAGGTTCTAAGGGAAGACTCTGTCATCCCACTGAAGTTAGTGGCATTGTTAGAGGCATCTGCAGAGGACCAAGGTGCAGTAGGGAAGCTGAAGACGTTTTTATTAATTTCTTTGTTCATTAAAGTAGGCTCGTTTTGCCCAAAATATATATCCGAAGGACTTTTCTCACTCTTGGATGTGACGGCAAAACCAGTGTTGGTTGAACTGAGAACAAAGGGTTTCGCAGTCGCCCGTAGTTCATTGCTGCTAGAAAAAGGTAAAAAGCTTGAATTCAACAAGTCTAGTGGAGCTGCAACGTTGTTTTTATTTCCAAATAAGTTGACATCTTCTGCAGTTTCGACGACATCTAACGAGGCGCTCATGGGTGGGAAAGAGACGCTGGGAGTGTCAACAACGCGGTTTAGAACTTGGTCATTTTCAGAACTGTGGAACTTTGCAGTGCCGAAGTAAGACGAATATCCCGAGTCTCGAGAGCTGCCGCTGTGTTCTCGCTGACGCAGCAGCTCTGGCAGATGCAATTTACCCTGCAAGACAAACAGGCATCAGGCATAAAATATTTTTTAACTTATGAACAAAAATTAGCTGGATTTTGGAATCAAAGCAGTCCTTCAATGTGCAATAACAAGGGGAACTAACAACATCAGTACAGTAATATCTTTCAACATGCAAACTCTACTCTGATTTCCTGCCTATTTCTAGAGCAATATGTAGACAATTATTGAAGAAAATCTGTACTGAAATGGGAAACAGGTTGGATATGGCTATGCAAAGTAAGATTAAAAGTTTTATTTGTTCTTCTTCTCTCAATTACATTAATAATATAATTTAAAATGTGGATAAGAAGTTCGTTTGGTCAGTTTATTGGAAAGTTTCAGAAAGTGCTATTGAACCAATTTCATGGGATTCATTTTACATATAATTGAAATAATTTGCATTTAAATTTATACCCTAACTTTTAGGTTTTTACAACTTTCAGTTAATGCACAAATAATTTGAAACAAGGTATTTGAATAACCTTTAAATTCAAAAGAAAATATGAGGCTTAAACTATACTTGACACAAAAGCAGCTACAATCATTCCAGATAATTGGTGGTAAAATGTTAAAATACCAAAATTTAGATAGTATCATGTAAAGCTTCTTCACACTCACCTCTTCTTCTGCAGCAGACCACTTGGAAAGTGTAGTCTGGCCATGTGAAAAGACTTCAGGCACTGCATGCTCAGCAGCATCATCCCCTTCACTGCTCTTCCTGCTGTTGCTCATGCTGTTACAGCCGCTGCTTTTCCTTGACAAATCCCCTATGGACTCATCGTTACAGCCGCTGCCCTTGCTCAACACATCTCCGAAGGATCCAACAGGGCATTCGCTGCGTTTAATCAATACATCCCCAGTTGATCCAGCGGTGCAGGCACTGTCACACGAGTTATTCTTCACTAATGATGGCTTAGCGCAGTCACTGTCATACAAAAATCCAGAGTCACCATAGCCTAGAGGTCTTGCAACACAATGATTCAGGTCTGTCATGGTGTCATTGTTGCAGCTGCTGTGGCTGCTGTTGCTGCGGGAACAAGAGTTGCTTCTGTTGCTGCTGATCACTCCACTGCTGTTGCTACTCCTGCTGCTCCGAGAGCCATACCTGGAGGCAATCATAAATAAAATAAATAAATAATGGGTTATATATTTACAAATTATAATATAGATTACTAAATTATGAATCAGTTTGGCTCATCTCAAAATACACATGATTGCTGTAAACAGATAGCACTTAGAATACAAAAAATTGTTAGTAGGTATTTAAGCAAGAATAAATTTGCTGAAATCCTTGCTTAGTTACAATGACAAATACTATAAAAAAAACCTGCAGTTGGTATTTCAATGGGTAACTTCATTCAACCAGAGGGAGCATAGACTGAAGCAGACACAAAAGTTGTGCAAACTAAAAGAATAAGTGAAATACAAAATTACTATTGTTCCTTTATTCTTATTGTAGTATGTTAATTAGGAAAATTTTGGTGGGAATGAAGTTCAATACAAAGTAAAAACATTTGCAACAGTATTTTGCAAGAATAATCTTCAACAAAGAAACTTTCAATACAGAACCAAAAAGTTGGCTCACTGATTTATGTAGGCCAGACCAAGCTGGTCTGATTCATCAAGCACTTGCGATACAATGTCAGCAACAAGACAAGCTTCCAGTCCTGTAGAAGCATACTGGGGGCTGATGGTGCTGGTGCTGGTGGGAGCGATGGTGCTGGTGGGGTCGAGAGGTGCTGCAGTATCATTGATGCTGCCACCCAAGAGAAAGTTGTAGGAAGAGGTCGGGTTGGGAGCACCAGCATCCTGGTATTGATGGGTGGGGTACTGTAAAGAACTTAGATGAGCCTCTCCACATACAAAAACATTTGTATTTTCTTCTGCAGGTTTCTGAATGCTTTCCCACAAACAATCCTGTAGAGAAATAAAAAATTTAGCACTTATTACACCATCAAATGGGAGTGGGAAAATGACCAAAAAAGCATCAATCTGTGACACAAATAGAAACCAATGTAACTTATGGCCAGGCCTTCAGCTAGATTTTCATAATTTAAAAAAGTGTTTAAATATTTTACAAAAAAAACATATCTTGATCAACACATGGGAAAACCTTTCAATAAAAGCCCAACAAAAAATTTTAAATCACAATAAAAAAATCGCTACCTATCAAATCAGGAATATTTTCTTGCATCAATCTCATAGCCTCTTTTGAACGCATGTGACAACTAAACAACAACAGTTCACTATAATCTTCTGAGTAAAGTTCTATGCTACTTACAACTATTCACACCACTTATGCACAATTTCATTTGTACTTAAAAATTCTTACATACATTTTGGTGCAGTAAGGCTTCAAGATGATGGTATGCTATAGGCTGACTATTGGCAACAGCAGCTGTAGACTTGGTACTGGGTTTTATCATGTCAGCTCACACACCATCACTAAAAGCTTGCCCCACGAAACACCCTGTACAAAAATTTGGGTCAGAAATTACATACCTATATTATTCATATAAATGCCTATCAACATTGTATAACATATAATTTCTTTGCAAAGATGTCATATATACTGTCAAACTGAGTAATAAGCAATGGGTGGGGTAAATCGGGACAGTATTCAATCAATTTGTGAAATGTTGTATGTAGCAGCCAAACTAATTGAATTATTGCAAAACCAAAAATAGTGGTATAAACTTAAACATTTTTCCTATCTATGTTGCATAAAGTAAGTTAAGAAACCATACATTTACTACCTACCTCTAAAAATCCCTAAAAGTGTGCAAAGTGAGATTTTGGAAAAGTACTTCTGCCAAGGTCTGTAACAAAAAAAATATATATTTGCCATATCAAAAAATGTTACTTGCAAAAAAGTGGCACACAGGTGTTGGCTTAAAAATTAGATTGACGAAATTTGCATAGCTTAATCTAAAAAAAGTGGTGGCCATTTCCACAAGATGGGGTAATAAGAGATACCCTCCAGGGTATAAGTGACACTTGCAAAAAAAAAAAACATTTACAGTGGAATCTTGGTTAGCAAAGGCTACAGTTAATGAAAAAATCTATTAAGGGGAGCGTCTCCCGAAAAATCGAAAATTTTCACTTTTTGGGTTTTTACACTCATTTTAAAGCTTAGAAAATTACGCTTCTAACGAGACTAAACTTGTCTCTCTACGTCGTCTGGTTCTCGTACACNCTGCATAAATCATGTCGCCAAGAGGTTAGGCTCACGCCTCAGAGCTCTAAAGAATAAGTCCAAGGTTGTTACCACGACAAAGGCCGGCAAGCAAGTCATGAGGAGCATGTATGCTGGGGCAGGCAAGCTGACCGATGGAGTGATAGATTTATTGACAAGGCATTTCGGTCAGAACCTCCGGAAGCACAACTCGTCTGCTGATGTTGCCACCGTGAGAGAATCAATCCTTGCCACTTACTATCACTCAAGTAGCACTGATGCACGCCCCAGACACGCATCTTGCCCCCATGGAGCAGAATCCTGGTGTTGGGTTCAACGAGCAGAAGCTGCTAATAAGACACCTGAGCCTCACTCCACCAAGTCACTCCACCTTGCTGGTATGTCCCAGAAGCTCCTGAAGGGTATTCTCCAGGTATATGTTGATTTGTGCAGTGACCAACTGTTGAAACGCTGTGTCAAGCAGTGAACTCAAAACTCCAACGAAAGCCTCCATTCCAAGATCTGGCTGAGGTGCTCAAAGGAGAAATTCGCTTCACTTGACCGCGTCTTATTCGTTGCTCGTGGCACGGTCTTGGACCACAACATTGGATACGAGAAAGGAAACCTTCTTGTAGCTCTTGGATTGCGAACGCCTGACCACCTAAACATGTTGAAGGTAAAGGCTGCTGAAGTGACGACTCCAAGCCGCAAACCAAGGAAGACGCGCACGGCCACTCCCAGCACTGGGTACGGCGCAGGGAATTTCTAAATTCCTTCTTCATTCTTCTCTTTTCTTGATTATGGGGTAAGTTGTTCATATCGACCCCATTTTCTTCCAATAATTCTTCTCTTTTCTTGATTATGGGGTAAGTTGTTCACATCGACCCCATTTTCTTCCAATAATTCTTCTCTTTTCTTGACTATGGGGTAAGTTGTTCACATCGACCCCATTTTCTTCCAATAATTCTTCTCTTTTTTTCTCAATTTCCTTCTCTCCATTTTTTTTCTTATTCTTATAATTTTTTTCTTTTATTTATTATCATTCAGTGCCGACTGGACAACAACGAGTCGTTGGCCACGATGATACCCTCGATTTCATTTGAGTAATAGGCGAGGACGTATTTAATGCTAATTAAATACCGAGCCGGGGATCCAGAGCCAGGCACTGGATAAATTTCAATACATTTTGTTATTTAATATATTATATTTTTTTCTTTCCTTTTTTCGAAGTACAATTTCTTCCCATAGTTTTCAAGCTACAGCAATGAAACTTATACCATTGGATGCGCAAGAAAAAGATCTAGAGAATGATTTATGCGTTTTTGTAATATAGATTTATTTAGAATGCAGTTTTTTTAATTTTCATAAAAATTTTCAGTTTTTCAGCTCTCCTGAAAAACAACATTTTTCTGACTTGCAAACCTATCTCCTCCTAGAGTTTTGAAGCTACGTCAATGAGACATATACCGTTTGATTTGCAAATGAAAGATCTACAAAATGATGTATTGGTTTTTCTAAGTTCGTTATAGTTCGGATTTTATGTTGCAAAAAGGGGGGGAAAGTGGAGGTAAAATCGAAAATTTCAAACAATTTCGGACAAAATGCTCCCACACTCACATAAGAATTTCACGTTTTCTTTCAATTTTTTCGAAAAAATCACATGAACAAAAATGTCTTAGAATTCTGTTTTACATATGTGTACCAAATTTCAGATTGATCCCTCTGTAAATTACTGAGATAAATTTTTAGGGAGACGCTCCCCTTAACAACAAAGGATTTTGATTACATTTATCTTGCTCAGCAAAAAAATCACTCGACAGAAATCATTGTCACACATCAGTGACATCACATTGCTCATCACATCATGGTCATAACAAAATTGTGCATAGAATGTCATAGATAGAATTGTGCACCGGGCAACATAGAATGAAAAGTAATTAACATAAACTATGATTTATTTTTCAAACAAATATGATTGTTGTCACAAAAATATTCCTTTCTAATTCAGGTATATTTTTAATAATTTTTTTTTTTGTTATATGTAGTGAATTCACATGACACAATTTAAAATGGTGGGAAATTACAAGCTGTCCTGCAAGCTTACAGATACTGAAGAAATGCTATAAGGCTGCTTATATGAAGCTTGCAGTGGACAAGGTTGCTGTCAATACTCAATGGCAAGTCCATGGATATGGTAATATCACATCAATAAATGACAAAGGAGAATAAAAATCACAGAAAATGTTATTTGTTCTACATCATCTAGAAAGAAAGTTGAGGACTTCACAGTACTGCTGGTAATGGATGAGTACACTCTGCATGCTTCAAATGTTTTAAAATTAAGTTTTATTTCATGCGTCCCAAATTACCCTGTTCTAAGGCGTAATTAGGGACGCTTTTATTTTGCATCTGGCACCTTACGAATAGCATATGGAATTTTTACGGAGATGGTATACGATAGCCCTCACAAAGGCCTTTAAAATAAGCTCAAATTAGTTTATAAAATGTTTCATGGTAAGAAGTTATCAACAAAAAATGCTCAAAACCCTCCCTTACCACCCCGTTTGACAGTACGTTCCAACATAAACAATGCTGGCAAAATGGCGGACAGTCACTTCATGCCTTGGCGAACCTAAGGTATCTAATTTTAAAGTCTTCCCAAATGTTAGCTTAATTTTATTGATTAGTGTTTGGAAATGAACTAAAAAGAGTAGAACTATGATGACACAATCTTGTTTTTTGAGAAATTTCCATCAATTACTTGCTTAGCTGAGATGAGCAAAGGATAACCCTTTATGCTAAAAATAAACATTGATAAAATATTTTCAAATTAATGAAAGATGCTCTCGGATCAAGATTGCAGTTCTTAGAGCATGCTCTCAAAATTCTGACAGTGAATCTACTATGCCAGAAATGCATGATAGTACTGCAGTTTACATTCAGTTCAGTCATGAGCCAGTGAGATAAGCTGGTACTGGTAGTGTTTTGGTTCATATTTAAAAATTTAGGAGTTTGATGCAGATAATTAAATCCATGACTTTTCCATGACTCTCCATAGTCCATTACCATCAATATAATTTTCCAAGACAGGTGTAGCATGACTGAAAGACTAACCGTGCATATTCTATCATCTCCTACAGTTGATAAATAGCAAATGTATAAATGCATAGCTTTTCAAAGGTGGCATGGCTCTTCAAAACTGCTTCCCTCATATTTGACACATTGAAGTATTTTGAGAACAATGTACATATTGCCATACTTTCATGCTTTGGATGGCAAGCAAGCCAGTCACAAAAAGCTTCTATTCTTAACCACAAGTCATGAAAATTACACTTTCCAGGCATGGTGATGTAGAAATTGCATGCTGAAGAGTGAAGATAGAATGCTGCCACTGCAGATCAAAAAGTTGTCAAATGAAACTGAGCTTGGTGACTGAGCTCACTTGTGGATAACCAATCGGAATGCATGACACAAGAGACTGGCACAGCCGCACAGTCTCTTATTAGTACTTATTTCCCACACTCAGGATGATGTATGTTTTCGGTGAATTTTCCCGCGCATTTTGACTTTTTTTAAGCCATTGCAGTGCACAGTTGGTGCAACTTCTGGCCATCCTCGCTTGTGCGCGCAAGAGTCGGCGCAGCGCACGCAAGCGTTGGCGCAGCACATGCAAGCGTCGGCACAGCAAACACATACATTTTGTCAAGGGTCAAGTGACAGAAAATGTACAATAGGTACTCAATATGTGTTTAATTATCCATCAATAACCTATGATTTTCCTTGATTTGGAAATTTTGTGAAAGTAAAAATCTAGAAATTTATTTTCAAAGAAATTTTCTACAAATTTCTTATACAAACTGATGAACATCGTTTGTTTACCTTCCGTAGACCGTCCGGAAGTGAGGCAATATTCTGTCCGGATGTGAGGCAAGTGGTGAATAACCAAGTCCTCAGAAATTGGGCATATGAAGACTGAAGTAAACAAATATTAGTGTTAAATGACAGATTTAGCTCGTTCTATATATACTATTAGTGCGCTGATAGGGTTATTAAAGATTCTACGGTTAATGAAAGGAGTCAAAAATAATTTCATGATTGCAATTAATGGAAAATAGTTTTGAGTGCGAAATCTTTTGTAAATGAAATATGTCTAGACATAACTGTCATCAGAAATTCCCAACATCGTCTTTATATACTTTTACGCAATGCTGATTCATCGTCATGTATGTGATGAGACGTTTCGGACAAATTTACGGCCATCCTCGCGGCCATTGTCCAAATTTAGTGTACCTACCTGGAATATCTCCCAAAGTACTGAACGTAGCTCGATGAAACTTGGTACACATATTCATTATGGCCTTACGGTGATGTCAAGCTTGTGATAATTTTTTTAATATCGCCTTCATTCTTGAGTTATATGACAAAATGTGCCAAAATTTGCAGTGTCCCAGCCATTTCTTCCAGGGCACTGAACAGATCTGAATGGAATTTTGAATATGAATTTCTGAATACTAAACAGAGATGTTTAGCTCGTGAAAATTTGTTACGTTTTGCCTTCATTGGCAAATATTTTTCTCATTTCCCTCATTCGTTATTTAAACAGCAAAATAGTGCTTAAATTCGCAATGAACCAGAGATTTCTTCTAAAATACTCAAGAGATTCGAACGAAACTTTGCATATAGAAACCTAACCTCCAAACGGCGATGTTTAGCTCGTGAAAATTTTTTTATTTTGCCTTTGTTTGCGACTTATACGGATATACGGAGAAAGGACCGGCATTTCTTAGGCCAATTTTTGAACTTGCATTGACCAGGACGTCTCGGACAAATTTACGGCCGGACCTGCGGCCGGTCTCGCGGCCGCAGAACTCCAAACATAGAAAAAACCTAGCCAATCAACAAAAACCTCGCAGGTTAGGTCCAGTTAGGAACAGGTTCCATTAAAAACACAAAAAAACCTAGAAAGCCCATAAAAACACTAAGTAAACCTTTCTGGCTGCGAGACCGGCCGCGGGTTCGGCCTTAAATTAGTCCAAGACCTTTGACCAGGAGCCATATACGTAAAGCCGTATACGATATACCTTGCCAACGAAGGCAAAATAAAAAAAATTGTCATGAGCTAAACCTCACTGTTGGGAGGTTAGGTTTCTATATGCAAAGTTCCGTTCGAATCTGTTCTGTATTTTAGAAGAAATCTCTGGTACACTGTGAATTTAAGCACTGTTTTGCTGTTTAAATCACGAATGAGGGAAAAGAGAAAAATACTCGCCAACGAAGGTAAAACGTAAAAACATTTCATGAGCTAAACATCTCCGTTTAGTATTCAGAAATTCATATTCAAAATTTTATCCAAATCTGTTCAGTACCTTGGAAGAAATTTTCTGTACACTGCAAATTTCGGCACGTTTCGTCATATAAGTCACGAATGAAGGTGATATTAAAAAAATTATTACGAGCTTGACAGCACCATTAGGCCATAATGAATATGTGTACCAAGTTTCATCAAGATATGTTCAGTACTTTGGAAGATATTCCAGGTACACTGACGGCCGGGAGACCGGCCGTAAATTTGTCCAAGACCTTGTGATGAGCCTCTTGAAGCTATTCATATTTTATTAATGTTTGTTGTTAGTCTATTTACTTAACCTTCAAAGTTGCAAAAAATGAGAACTGATAATTTAAAAAAAAAGTGCAGTGCCTGTATTTTTGTTTTCAATTGGTTTGCACCACACAAACCCATTTCTCCAGCCAGGAGGATGTTGGGAATGTAACGTACCGTCAACCGGGGCTACACGGGACAGATTTGATCGTTTTTTTTTTTTTTTTTGGAATTTTTCAAAGCAAGTAAATGTAGTATTTTTCGACTTCCTTTATACTACATAGATAGGAAAAATGTTGACGTTTACGCCACTATTTTTAGTTCTGCAATATTCCAATTAGTTTCGCTACTACAACAGTTTTACGACGTGTCGGAGGCCTGTCCCGAGTAGCCCCGGTTGACGGTATTCCTGATATTGACATTCGGGTTTGTACTATTTGGCATTTGCCAAAGTCAGTCCTTTGTTATTAGGAGCCAATCTGAAGCCATGTGGAGTGTCGCCTTCTACGTTCTACTATTTAGTTTTGTAATTAATTTCCAACCGAATTGTTATCTATGAATAAGAAATAAATATTCATAACATTGCCAACTCGTAGAAACTGAGTTAACACGTTAGGAATCTAGTCAATGTGAATTATGTGATGCAGGTATTTCTTCGTGTGTGATAGTGTTACCGCGCATTCATCTTCAAACAACTTTAGGAGCACGGCGCAGGCTGGCGCTAGTCTGGAAAAGTCCTATTTTTGTCTGAAATATCGCGGCTCAAATATCATATAATTTCAGTAGGTATGAAATCTCGCGGCTCGAATGTCATATCAAAGCGGTCAGACTGCATTAACGTGTGCTGAACTTACAGTAGACACAAATTTTATTGTTGCCGTTCGACTGTTTAAGGGTAAAATTAGAGATTTGGGGTAACACGTGCATGGACTTTGTAAAAAAATTTGCACCTCGTAAATGGCTTTTCATGGCCGAGATATGGAACTCACGGCTCGGTGAAATGGAATCACGGCTCGTAGAAATGGAATAACGGCTGGCAAATCCATAAAATCACGGCTCAAAAAATTCAGTCGCGGCTCGCCAAGTAGATATATTCCATGCCTGGGCTGGCGCACGGTGCACTTTTTACCGGCATATTACGGCGCACGGCACAAACTGATGCAATGATAATAAAAATTCCCACGCACCTGGCACATCTTCCTGACCGTGGCTCATTTCATGTGTGACAATCAGAAGACAGGAAACAAGAGAATGCACAAACAGTAAAGACATGAAGCAGAGAAAAACACTTTCTTATCTCTTTGTTTATTTGCAAATACCATGACTTTCCATAACCAGAAAAAAAGTGAAATGAAATCCAATGACTTTCCAGGCCTGGAAAATGAAAAATCAAAATTCATGACTTTCCAGATTTTCCATGGCCAGTACAAAGCTACTAACAAACCCTGCTTTCACATAGCACCTGATCTACATCATCTACTTGCTAGTGAAATTCATCAAATGCTAGTCTGTAGTGAGCTAGGCCTAGGGCTAGCTGTGCAATGTGTCAACCTTGTAGCAAGTAGGAACTAGGTATAGCTATGTAGGATTTGCCAGCTTGTCACTTGGTGAGTTGGTGTTTTGCCCTAAAAAAAGACAGTATCTGATAATCTAGTGATGACGCTAACTCAAATTGCGAAGAGAAGATTGTTGTAAATCTTGTCTTTTTGCATGTCAATGTTCACCGTATTCATAAGTCAGAACAAAGATTTAGCCACTTGGACTTGAGTGACTTGACTATACTTTGCGGCTTGCCCGAAGCAGCCCGATCAGTCGTTCACCACGACACCACCTCTTCAATTTATTCGTAAAATCGTAGTAGTCTGATTACACTAAAAAAATTTTTATAAAGCTACAATGACTATTGTATCTGCCATTAAGAAATTGATCAAATCATTAATATAATTTTATGGGGTGCACTCAAATTAGTCAACTCACATCCAAAACGTACGACGTCCTCACAATTGGCTCAACTTCATGTAAACAAGAAAACTGAGGCAACAACCGAAATTCAGCAGGTGCAAAGCCAAAACTCTTATGTACCATCGGGATATAAATGTATTTTGTTAATATTAAAAGATAACAAGTTCGATATTACATGATGAAATAAAAATATATTGATAGAAACATCCGGTTTATCATTCCTTAATTTATTGATGTACGCATATACAACCAGATTTTCTGAGAGATATGCATTTAGAATAAAATCGGTGTGTCTTCAAATTTTTTCATCGATAATTTTTTTTTAATACGGAAAACCTAAAATCCGTTCATAATTGAAGGAGTTATGAGTGCCAGAGTTGAAAATGAAGTTCGAGCTCGCAGGCGAGTTCGCACGCGAGTTCGCTGAAGTGTCGAATCGGTGAAGAATCCATAAAGACATAAACAGAGAATCAAGTCTATAAAATCTTCGAAAAAATAATAAAATCGAATTGCGGTGATTGGCCTGATCATCCAACTGGTTAAAATGATCCGTGTAAATTTAAATTTTCATAAATTATTTATTATATTTTTTGGAACGTTGGGAAAATTGAAGAAGTGGTTAAGGAACACATCTGCTATATAATTATTTAATAGTCAAAGTAAAGTTTACAACATTTGGGAGCTCGTGGTATACTTGATCTAACTTAAAATACAATAAATATTTTTTCTTACATTTCATATCAAAACTTTTTCATATTCCCTATTATTCCAATTGAAAATGACCCAATTTATCAATTACCATATTACCCAACATAGTCCACATGTTGGGTAACATGCCATCTATAAAATGTTGTCAATATTATTATATGGCCTAATTGTATACAATAACCTGCCCCATTAACACTAGAACAATTACCTCTTAGTGTAATGGCCACAGTTATTATCCTTGGCTCGAAGCCCATGCCTCACGATACATTTTCGTAATGCATTCCGCTACAATATTTTCCCGAAGAACTATCAAAGAACTACTGACAGTAGATATAGACGAAACAAACGTTTGTCCTATAGCTTGTGCATTTGAAAAATATAATTAACACGCATCAGTTATGCCAGTTCACAGTACAACATTAAGTTCCTCGCGTCAAGCATGTCGGTTCACATACAGCATTAAATAGCACTCGTCAAGCATGTCGGTTCACAGTACAGCATTATGTGCCGCGCGTCAAGCATGTCGGTTCACATACAGCATTAAATAGCACTCGTCAAGCATGTCGGTTCACAGCACAGCATTAAGTAGCACGCGCCAAGCATGTCGGTTCGCAGTACAGCATTAAATAGCACTCGTCAAGCATGTCGGTTCACAGTACAGCATTAAGTACCGCGCGTCAAGCATGTCGGTTCACAGTACAGCGTTAGGTAGCACGCGTCAAGCATGTCGGTTCACAGCACAACATTAACTACCGCGCGTCAAGCATGTCGGTTCAAAGGACAACATTTACTACCTTTAGTCAAGCATGACGGTTCACAAATAACAATAAAAATATTTAAATATATTCTAATAGTGCTTCTATCTACTTATTATTGAGGTGTCGTTAAATTATTAATTCTATCTACATCTACCAGACGATAAGATACTTAAGTAATACCACATGAAACATTAATGCAATTGAAGGTCACCTACGATAAAAGCCAAGTAAAGTACATATAATCGAAACCTCAGTTGCTGATTAACTTACTATGCGCAATTTGGTTCATAAATTTACTTTAACGCAGCCGCAGTCCAGCAAATGGAATATATTCAAGGTGGGGAAAAACAAAAGACTTTTCCGTCATTCATAACAAAAAAATCACTAAGGTCTTAATTTTTTCTGTGGTTACTAGGGATTTTTTTCTATCCAAGATTCGCCGAAAATTGTAATAAAAAAACTAGACTCCCAGTCGCGTATATCTTAATTATGGTGAAATTCATCCAGTTTTACAACCAAGTCAGAATTAACATTATCTTTTTTAATCGAAATAAAGATGGATATAGATTTTTGATATTTTACATCTGCATTTATTCCTGCCTTCGAGATCCGGAGTATGCATGATCTACATATGCATGATGAACACATGCATGATGAACATATGCATGATGAACATATGCATGATGAACATATGCATGCTGAACATATATGAATGATGAACACATGCATGGTGAACACATGCATGATGAACACATATGAATGATGAACACATGCATGATGAACATATGCATGATGAACATATGCATGATGAACATATGCATGATGAACGTATGCATGATGAACATATGCATGATGAACATATATGAATGATGAAAATAGTTCAGTATACGTCATCGAACTATCTAGTCCCACAAATGCACTAACTCGTTAGCAAGTTACTAATTGGTCTGCTAAGTCCATAAATATCTATATTTATTTACAAATTATTATCACCCATAACGCATATATGGTAAATCTTAATCTTCTTCATCAAAAGTATAAAGCCGAGGTATTTTAATGGTCATTTATGGAAAAATTGTTCATTCACTCAATACTGAACAATATATTTAAAAAATATGTGATATGGTTGCGGTTACATTATAAGATGCCTGAATGTGCGCAAAACTGACCGAAGAATCGTATTTCATGAGCTTAACCATTAAATCACTTGTATCCTCTTACTTCAGATTAAGACAAAACTTTACTGCTTCCACTTCTTATTCGGAGGTCAAAGCTACGCTCCAATAGACTATGTTGAACACAAGTACCATTAAAAATACTACTATTCTCGAGGTGATTATCATGGTCTTGCATTTGTCAACTTCTTTGAACGACCATTTCCAGAACCTCCATTCGATGCCCCTCTGGAGAATAGCTTTGCTGACATCGGCATCCAAATCCTCAGTTTCAGGGTTCCCTCTCTCCATATCAACGAAAGAGTCCCCGTTCTTAGGTGTCTGCTGTTCCCGGTAGGTTTGACCCAACATATTTTCTGTGGGTACCACTAGATCCGATCCCACCGTGCCGGTTGGTCGCTTTCGTGCCACTTCTTCGGGAGTTTTGGACGACGAAGGGCTTCCGTTGTCCACTCCGAGGTGGGCGAAGGTGGTAACGAGTTCTTGAGCCTCCAGTTCTGGAGAACCTGGGACTGACCCTCGGGCGGCATCTAAAGAATTCCTGGAAAAAGCTGAGGAAACTTGGCTGCCTCTGGACCTGGACCGGGAGGGAGGTTTTACAGAAACAAGGGATCCTTTGTGGGCGGTTTTTGATTTGAAGGTTCGGTTGTGACCTCCCAAGTCTGGCTTGATGATGATGGCTGATAGAGGGTGCTTGGGAATAGCAGGTTTTGGTGTGTCCTGAAGCCGGTCGATGATGGCGTGGAACACGATGATGGTGAAGATGATTAGGATGCTGGATAAGAGCCACACATCCACCAGCTTAAAGTATGAGGATTTTGGCAGCTGGCTAGACGCCTGCAAACGGAATGCGATACAAAGTTATTATTAATGTAAAGAATTAAATAGGGGCTTTGTTGCGTATTCTAAGCGAGTATGTGAATAAACATTTGGGGTTATATGAACCTTCTACTTAATTCATAGTGAATCAACGGTTTTGACATTTCATAATTATAAGGTCACCTGTGTTATTAGAGTAGCCATCACCAGCAGGGTTGTTAGTTAATCAGACATACTACAAGATGAGTACCTGAGTGAAGAGAGTAGCCATCACCAGCAGGGTTGTTAGTGAATCAGACATATCAGACATACTACAAGATGAGTACCTGAGCGAAGAGAGTAGCCTTCACCAGTAGGGTTGCTAGTGAATCAGACATACTACAAGATGAGTACCTGAGTGAAGAGAGTAGCCATCACCAGAAGGGTTGTAAGGGACCCCAACATGCGGACTTGGAAGATGGCAGGTTTGAAGTACAGGGTTAAGTAGCTGATCACCAAGAGGCACATCGAAGGGATGTACACGTTCATAAGAATGAACCCGGCACGCCTGGCAAGCTCAACTGAAAAGTGAGGGATGAATTCATAAATAATGAGCGGCTTTACTGGAAATTTAGAAATGAAATTTTAGAAATGAATGGTAGACACGATCTCTGTAAGTTAGTAGGTGTGAGAAAATCAACAAGTGTATCATGAACAATTTATATTATTAAATATCATAGCGACGGAACACTACTGAAATATTACAACTGTGGCATATATGAAGTTAAGTGAGCAGTTTGGCATGTATGTAAGTGAAAACTTCTGCATATGTGGGGGCAAGTTAGGGTAGGCGAGAACTGTGGCATATATAAGGGTAGGTAAGGGTGAGGGTAAGTGAGGGTAAGTAAGGTAAGTGAGGGTTAGTGAGGGTGAAAGTAAGTCATAGTATTTGAGCAGTTTGGCTCATATGAGCAAGTGAGAAGTTCAGTATATATGAGGGCAAGTGGAGTAAGTGAGAACTTCGATAGATATGAGTGAGTTTGATAGATATGAGTTAGTGTGAGTAAGTGAGGGTAAGTGAGAACTTGAACAGATATGAGGGTAAGTGAGGGTGGGAGTAAGTGAGGGTGAGGGCAAGTGGGGGAAAGTGAGGATAAGTTTGAACTTCGACCGATATGAGGTTAATTGAGGGTAGATGGGGTACGTGAGGGCAAGTAAGGGTAAGTGTGTACCCTCTGATCACTTACCCTCAACAATGAGCACCGCGAAGTCCTTATCATTCTGGAAGTGCAGCTGCACGTCGCCGACAGTGTACTCGATGAGGTGCCGGTTGCCTGAAAACGTCGCTGCGGTCGCCACCTCGTCGAACTGAAGCATGCGTGACGACGCCGACAACATCGTCAGCTCCATCTCGCAGCCCTGACGTGTAAAACATTATTTTCAGTAATTGAAATAATTCCAGAAAAAAATTGAAAAATACGTTATGATTTGCTAGGTCGCCCACAGGGTCTAGAAAAATTCATATTAGACCGCCTGACAGAAAAAAAAAAACCGCCTGACTCAGACCGTCTGACTCAGACCGCCTGACAGAAAAAAATTCTAGAAAAATTCAAGTTATTTAAGTAAGAAAGAATTCCGGAATTAAGAGACAACTATTTTTAATCTACACATGGTTTCTGGGAGTTTAAGCGTTGTAGTATTCGGCATGAGATGTACATCGTTATTTGTTTAAATTCGCCTCTGATTTCGGCATAAAGCTCGACGAAATATAATTGCTCAATACTGATGTTGACGTTTTCGTTAAAATTCCAATAATTTGCCCAAATTTCCGCAAATTCCTCGAGTTTGCCGTCTAATAGAAACATAACACTCGCCTGCTTATGGAAGTATAACACTTGCCTGCTTATGGAAGTATAACACTTGCCTGCTTATGGAAGTATAACACTTGCCTGCTTATCGAATGGGTAGCACTTGCCTGCTTATGTAAGTATATATATAGCACTTGCCTGCTTATGGAAGTATAACACTCGCCTGCTTATCGAAGGAAGTATAGCACTCGCCTGCTTATGGAAGTATAGCACTCGCCTGCTTANATAGTGAGCTGTGCATGTTAATGCAGAGACTCCAAACACTGGGCTGTTCTCCGACAACAGAATAGTGAGCTGTGCATGTTAATGCAGAGACTCCGAACACTGGGCTGTTCTCCGACAACAGAATAGTGAGCTGTGCATGTTAATGCAGAGACTCCGAACACTGGGCGGTTCTCCAGATAAATCAAGAGTCCTTTGCGTGCGAGAAATATGTTTTCTTTAACATAAAAAAAAATCTAAAATTCAAAACTTACTCTAAGATCAAAATTATGAATAATAATATTCTGTGTGAAGGAAATTGTAAGCGTGGTTAAGTGAGAGGCGAGAAAAAGTTTTTGTGCCTGATGCTGTAGAAATGTTGCTTGAAACATAAATGTTGCGTTAAATTCAGAGGGTGCTCAACTGCTCATAAGTCAAAAAATTATTACGAGATTAAAATTATGGAAATAAATTATGATTATTATTGTTCTTTTCAATAAATTCAATAAATAACGCAAGCTTTCAATAAATTCCTTCATTAAATACAGTTACAGATGAGCGTGTCACGAATTTTAGTGAAAATTTCCGTACGTTTCCCTACATATACATTAAATAAAGGAGTTAACTATTAGCTAATTTATCTTATTTACTTTATAAATTGAGAGAAATATTTTTCCCGCATGAGGCTCATCCAGCCACGGTCATCCGCACGATTAGGATTTATTAAATAATTTATATAATAGATTTTTCTGACAGAAAATAATTGTTGTTCGTAAAATTCTCTATACGCTTTTCGAAGTCTAATATGTCATAGAATATTTGAATACGTTATATTTAAATAGAATACGTTATATTTGAATCCTTCAAAAATTTCATCTCAACAAGGATTACTGTTTTTTACCAGAATTTTTCAAAAAAATACCGTGAAAATGGATTACCAAAAGGATATTGTATTGTAGAAATATTACGATAGGAAAGGAATATTTTTTTTTGCAGGCTGATATTTGAATAAAAAGATACTAAACTGAAGTGCTACAGACCTTCTTCGGCGTGAGAGTCGTCGCCCATGTAAGGCAGACTCTGCATGTTGACCATCATGGTAGACTCGTGGTCTGCCAAGGTGTAGTGGTTGCCTTTAGTGTTGGTGAAGTCCACCACAGGCACCCAGACCTTCTCCACAGTCTCCTGCTTCACTCTGTCGTGAAAATCAAAAATTTTTTTAACCTACAACTTTACTGAAAACTACGGCTTCGTTAAATTTGATACATGTTTAGTGATGGGATATGTGTTATGTTTGCACAAACACTCAAAGGTTATTTGATTATCTGAATACAAGAAGAGAACATTAGATGATAAATTAATTATACGATTCAACATAATCTATTATATACCCTCATGTATATATTATCAAGTTAAATCCTTTTGCTAAACCTATTCTCAATCGTAATCCAAGAAAGGTTCTCACCTGTTCAGGGTTCTGTCTTCGTTGAGGTTGAGGAACTCCAGCCTCTGATCACTCCAAGTCATGGTGAGGTTGTAGTTGACATGCATCATCATGGACGCCGTGTTGATATCAGCACTCTCTATGGTCACCTGTAGCGCGACCTGCAAGGGGTTTTCTGTCCCTAACGCTGCAGGGGGGATGTCCGACCTGTAGGTCACTGGAAACTGAACCAAACGGCAGTCCTTTTCATCGCTACCGTCCCTGCAGTCAGGTTTGAGGTCACATCTTTGGAAAAGGGGTATGCAAGTGGCGTCATCGCAGGTGAAATGGCCGTCGCGGCAAGGGGACAGCAACAGGGTGCGTATTTCACCAGGCTCTTCATCGCATACGGACATTTCAAACTGCCATGAATGCCGCCCGATCGGCCACGACTTTTTGATGCTAGACCCGGAGATTAATTTTGCAATAGTTAGATTCTCGCTTGCTGCAGTTTTTTCAAGCCAATGCCACGTGTTGTTTCGTTTTTCAATGCTGTAAAATGAATAACCTTCGAAAACGAGTTCACCTGCAGTCCGTTGAACAGGAGCAAAGAGTCTGTTTCTGTCGTGTATTTGGCAAGCTCCTAGAAGGGACCAGAAGGGGAGCTTTGGCACAACACACAACACGCACTGCTTCCCATCACAAGGAATATCTTTAACCGCTAAGTCTGTTTCTAAAGTACCTAGCGCGCAATTCTGAACGGTTCCTCCATCAGGTTCATTAAGCTTCCATTGAGGTGTGATCACTTTATTGTCCGTCATCCTCGTCCAGTAGCCTTCATCTTTTTCGTCCGTGGCTCCTATCCAGTATCCTTCACATTGGAGGCTCTGGCCAACTGATAGATCCAGGACCGCTTTCTGATACGTGCTGAGGCTGGAGCTGTTCTCAGGTGTCGGAAGATGTCCTCCTAAGCCTTCGCACAAAGTGAAGCCGTGGTATAGCCTCATCGGATGAAACAAATAGAATTTCGGGTCAAAGACAGTCTTGCAAAAGAAATTAGAAGATGCTCTTGATGCAGTAACCTTGCCGTGGCTTATCCAGTCGCTCGACCAAGCGATCAAGTCTCCTTCTTGGTCAGAGTTGCACGACGACAAAGAGGCGATCTCTTCATCTGATAAAGTCCTGTTCCAGATGTTGACCTGACGAAAGAGAGTCGATTTATTATACAAGACAACTACAAAGATTATTGTTTCAAAATAAAAAAAAAACACAGATTTTTTCCTTGCCAAACAACGAACAAAAAAGAAGTTTGTTTGATATGAGATATTTGACGCAAATTATTTACATTCTCAAATGCGGCCAGTTCACTTGTGGGAATTTTTCTGCAATACGCTAACCTGAAAACCGGTCACTTTAATTTTCCACAAATTAATAATTTCGCGAAAATAGAATCTTGATTCTCGTGGAATTTTGTTATAGTAATTTGTATTTTCAATTCCCAAAATTTCCATTGACTCACCATAATAAACCATCGATTTCGTCCAAAAAATTTAAGCAAGAACTGAAGTCTCGCTTTCACAATGAAATTCGCACCGATAATAAATTCACTCTCGCGATCAACGAATAACTTGCCGATAACATTAAGTGCTAACTATATAGTGCATCTTCCTATAAAAAAGAAAAAGAATTACGATCACTAAAAGGCGATTACTATTACAAAACTGTCCACGAAGACGTTTTCAAACCTGCGTGAGTTCCCCATGAAAGTTACTCGCAGCGTCCCCGGCCCCGATCTTGATCCTGGATCCATAGACCTTCGGGACGGTTTCGGCCAGATGGCGGTCCTGCGGGACGCCGTTCAGGTAGGAGACCGACCGTCCGCTCAGATGGTCGAGCGTCACGCACAGATGGTGCCAGGTTAGTGCCTGCAGGCTGTGACTCAGTGTGTGGTAACGACGCATACCTCCCAGCGTTACTTTGATGCGCCGCACGTCTACGTCTGTGACACGCAGAGAAATAGGTGAGACTTATCTAAATATCGATGCAAAATATCGTCTAAATATCGATGCGTTGCTTTTAATAGTGAAGTGCGACCATGATGCCCCGCACGTGTACATCTGTGGCAGGAGCACACAAACAAAGAAATGGGTGAGATTTTGTCAAAATAGCGATGCGGTTTTTCGCCCCCTGTGTGAATCAGCCTGTGAACACTGGTCCGAAAAAGACAGTGTCAGTGGTGGACGCAAAAAGTGTGTCACTATTTGAACACTATTAACCATCAATTTTCCTGAGTGCATGTGTAGCGTGTAGTTGTATGGATGTATTTCTGTATTTTACAGAATGTGTTAGTCGGGCGAGGGTTGTTATCTGCGGACCATTAACAAATGTTTGAGATTGGTCTCTAAACCCTATGGTATAACCCTTAAAACTTAACCCTTAACCCCTGGTAGAGGCATATTAACACTCAGCTATCCATCATGAATCAGTTAATGGGTCTATATACCGACTGAGTATACGTTTCGCTTTTAAGTCTTAATAATGTAAAGTTAATTTGTTGTAAGAATTTAAATTGAATAAACTTAATTAATTATTGAGAAAATTCACGAACATATTTAATATCAAATTGTCGACATGTGACCAGGCATTTGCGTTTGTCAAGCTACAGTCGCTCGTCATCGAGCAATGTAAGAGTATCATCAACTGGTTGTTGAAATTATCATCAACTGGTTGTTGAAATTATCATCAACTGGTTGTTGAAATTATCATCAACTGGTTGTTGAAATTATCATCAACTGGCTGTTTAAATTATCAACTGGTTGATGAAATTATCATCAACTGGCTGTTGAAATCGCGAATTAGATAAGAATTTTATCGTAAAAAAGAAAATCAACGATATTTCTGTGAAAACAAGGATTGCTCTTATATTAACTGCTAATAAAGCTGGCGAAGAAAATTTTGTATTTAAATTGATATGTAAATTTTTCAAATTATTATATTATTCCTTAAAAAAATTGAAAAATATTGAATTTCGTGTTTTTTTTGTTATATATTGTTATGTAGAAATAATATACATGAGGAATAAATACATTTAATAAATATCTGGTCTCCAAAACGTTCTCATAAAGATGTGCTGAAATAACTTTTAATTAGTTAAATATTTTTGCCTTTAAATTCTTGGTGAGCTTGCGCTATTAGCAGACTAATGATATGAATACATTTAAATACAGGGTGCGGCGCGGGAACTTACTTATTTGAATTGCGCGCCACGTGGCGGCCATTAGTCCTAGGAAGGTGGCGCCATGCGCAATATGGTGCGCGGGCTATGAAGTTTTTCGTCCACTCAGTTCAGTTGCGACCATGCAGTGGTCGAGAGAGGAGCGCGCGTTCGCAGTCTCTGTGTACTTTTCTAGTGGCCGGTCTATCGTTGCAACCCAGCGTGCGTTTAGGAGGCAGTTTAATGTCGCGCCCACTGGTCGTGTTCCTGGTCGTACATCAATCGTTCAGTGGGTGAATACTTTTATGAATACAGGCAGTGTGTGGAAACAAAAACCAGGTCCTTCCAAAACCACTAGGACGCCAGAAAATGTCGAGAGAGTAAGGCAGGCGGTTTTGCAATCACCTAAGCGATCCGCACGAAAACATGCATCTGCGCTTAGAATTTCCGATCGCACAGTTAGGCGAATTCTGCACCAAGACTTAAAATTCCACCCTTACAAACTGGCAGTGGTGCAAAAACTAAATCCACGTGATTTTGTTTCACGACAAAGGGCATGTGAAGCCATCGTTGAAAACTTGCCTAACAACGCACTTGTGTTTTTTAGTGATGAAGCACATTTTCATCTGTCAGGGTGTGTGAATAAGCAAAACATGCGATATTGGAGTGGTGTGAACCCCCGAGAACTTCATGAGAAGCCCCTTCATGCAGAACGAGTGACTGTTTGGTGTGCCTTATCCAGGACTGGCATCATAGGCCCATGGTTTTTTGAAGAGAACGATAGGGCAGTTACAGTCACTTCTGAACGGTACATTCAGATGATTCAAGAGTTTTTCCTTCCAAAACTTGATGAACTTGGTGTAAGAAATGTGTGGTTTCAACAAGATGGGGCCACGGCTCACACAGCACGCGCTTCAATGGCTCTCTTGCGCGAACACTTTCCACAACGCGTGATCTCCTTAAGGGGCGATCTCCAGTGGCCAGCGCGCTCGCCGGACTTAGCCCCCTGCGATTATTTTTTGTGGGGATACTTGAAATCCTTAGTGTACACCAATCGTCCGAGGACCCTAGCTGAACTGAAGAACAACATTCGCGTTGCTATTGCTGACATTGGTCCAGACATGCTTGAGAAGGTGGAGCGAAACTTCCGATCTCGTCTGACAAAATGTATTGAACAGCATGGAGGTCACCTACAAGATGTAATATTCAAGAATTAAACTTGTAAGTAAACCCAACGAAACTTTAAATGTAGCTCTTTGTAAAAAAGAAAGAATTAAAACGCTATCTTTAATACTTTTTACTTTGTGATTTTTTTAAAAGAGTAAGTTCCCACGCCGCACCCTGTATTATCATGCATCATTTAACTATTGACGCACCTATCGGCATGGCATGCTCGTCTGATGGTAAATTATACAAATAGTTTGCATATCATTCATTTCTGAATAATTAGTAAAATAATTATGTGCTTATATATTATATAAAACATGTACCTATTGACGCACCTATCTGCAGCGTGTGTTCATTAGAAGGCACGTGAGTGAGCATAATTTGCTAAACCTAATTAACTATACTAAATAATATATATACTAACATAATTCACGTATCGCCTCACCTATCTGCAGCGTGTGCTCATTAGAAGGCAGGTGAGTGAGCTGTGCCATATATATTATTCACATATTAATAATTTTTTAAACCTAATTAACTACACTAAATAATATATCTATTACCATAATTCACGTATTGCCTCACCTATCTGCAGCGTGTGCTCATTAGAAGGCATGTGAGTGAGCTGAATGTAGCGTGAGTGCTCCCATAATGAGAAGAACCGCACGCGTGAGCACACGCTGAGTGAGCGTGTGGCTGAGAACCGCGGTTCGAGATCCTGGTTCAGGGAGACGTAGCTGTCCGAGGGACTGTCGTTCTCCTGGAACTGGTACACCGTCACTTCTTCGGCTGCTGCGGGGGAAATTACAAAAATTTGTAAGTTTTTCGAATAAATTATTTATTTTATGGATTAAATACAATTAGAATTTATATATATCTAATTGATTTTGTATTTTTTTATAAATTAAATACTTTTATGAATCATTGTTTAAAAAATATAACTCAGGACTCAGTGCAGTGAGTGACAGAGAGCGCATTTTCTCGTCGACGAAAACGTGAAGTCACGGACAGACGGACAGACAGACAGACGGGGACATGGCGAGCACAATAGCCCCTTTTTTTTGGTTTAAATACATTTAGAATTTATATTTTTTTAATAAATTTGATATTTTGTATTTAATTAAATACTTTTATCAATCATTATTTAAAAAATATGAAATACTTGAAATAAATTTAATACTTTAATGACTAAAATACATAATGAATTGAATATTTCGAATGAATTAATGCTTAAATATAATATAATGTATTTATAATATGATTTAAGTGCCTAAATATACTACTTTTAAAGAAATGAAATACTCATGACAAATCAAAGATTCTAAACGAAATGAAGACTTTAAACTAAATTAAGTAAATATTCTGAGTCTCCGCGATTGCAGGACAATTAACTATTTTACGTTTTTTTCATTTATTGATCACCATGTTAAACCTATGGCTGTAAAATAATGCGATTATTTTAATCTGTTGACAACGATTATTATGAACGTACAAATTTAATGTTGCCGATAATAAATTTAATTATAGGTATAGGTTTGTATTTGTGCTAAATATCGATTTATCTATTTAAAAATATCGTAATATTTAAAAAAAATCGGCCTAGAAAATTTTCTTTCGTTAGGTGACAAACATTATAGTGAACAAGTCTGCTTTTATATCAACTAAAACTGCACCTCTGTCAACATCACCCCTGTCAACATCACCCCTGTCAACATCATCCCTGTCAACATCACCCCTGTCAACATCACCCCTGTTAACATCATCCCTGTCAACATCACCCTTGTCAACATCACCCTTGTCAACAACACCCCTGTCAACATCACCTCTGTCAACATCACCCTGTCAACATCACCCCTGTCAACATCACCCCTGTCAACATCACCCCTGTCAACATCACCCCTGTCAACATCACACCTGTCAACATCACCCCTTTCAGAATCACCCCTGTGAACATTAGCCCTGTCAACATCACCCCTGTCAATATCACCCCTGTCAACATCACCCCTGTCAACATCACCCCTGTCAACATTAGCCCTGTCAGCATAACCCCTGTCAACATCTTTCCTGTTAATATCAACCCTGTAAACATCACCCCTGTCAACATCATCCATGTCAACATCACCCCTGTCAACATCACCCCTGTCAACATCACCCCTGTCAACATCACCCCTGTCAACATCACCCCTGTCAACATAACCCCTATCAACATCACCCCTGTCAACATCACCCCTGTAAACATCACCCCTGTCAACATAATCCTATCAACATCACCCCTGTCAACATCACCCCTGTCAACATCACCCCTGTCAACACTAGCCCTGTCAACATCACCCCTGTCAACATCGCCCCTGTCAACATAACCCCTATCATTATCACCCCTGTCAACATCACCCCTGTCAACATCACCCCTGTCAACCCACCGTCAACAGAGCGTCTGGTGCCACACAGCAGCAGCAGAAGGGCCACGGCACCCAAATGACTCAGCATATTTTCTTACTGCCACATTTTTTCAGCAATTCACTAACAATTTAAATAATTATTTCTTATAAAATTCAAAAATCATTATTTACAAATCTTTTACAAGGATTACATCTTATTTTATATTAATTCATTATCCTGCGTACTAATAAATAATAAATGTCATCATAGGCAACTTCGATTACTGTATCTGAAAATTCGAAATAAAATATATAAAAATAATATTAATTCATAATAATATCGTTCATTATAAAAAATATAATTATTCTCAGAGTGAGTAGAGTGACGAATCACTCACGCTACCAGTACGTAGCGTGCAAACTCAAAGAAATCAGTGTGATCTTGTCCAAATGGCGATGTATTTTCTGACTTGTGTGGGTCATCCTGACCCAGTTTGTCTCGCAAAAATAGCGAATCAGTGCGGAAAGTTTGTTGTTATTTGGACAGTATGACTCATGTATTTCTCTAAGTGACGACATTGATCTACAATGTAAACAAGCCACGGCTTAGATAAATTCAAACGAATTTTTTATTTATAACTAAATTGATAACATCGACAGCTTGGCTGACAAAAGTGCAATTCGGCTGATTAATGTGTTTTGGCTGATGGAATCTTGCCCAATGTATAATTGATAATATCATCACCTAATGTAAAGCATAACTGATCAAATCACCACCCAATGTACAATTGATTAAATCACCACCCAATGCATAACTGATCAAATCACCGCCCAATGTACAATTGATTAAATCACCACCCACTGCAATGGTGATCAAATCTCGACCCAATGCATAACTGATCAAATCACCGCCCTATGTACAATTGATTAAATCACCACCCAATGCAATGGTGATCAAATCTCCACCCAATGCATAACTGATCAAATCACCGCCCTATGTACAATTGATTAAATCACCACCCAATGCAATGGTGATCAAATCTCCACCCAATGCATAACTGATCAAATCACCAGCCAATGTACAATATTGATTAAATCACCACCCAATGGCACTTGTGATCAAATCACCGCCGAACGCACAATTGATCAAATCACCGTCCACTGCAATAGAGGGCCAATCAACACCCAATTAAACTCCAGCCAATCAGTTTATCATTGCCTATGCCAGTGAGTGCTAGTGCGAGTTTAGACATTAGTGTGAATGATGGAAATGATACTATGCTCATTAGATGATCTAATGAGCATAGTATCATTTTCATCATTCACACTAACCATTGGATCTAATTCACACTAATCATCATTTACACTACCGTAATCATTTGATCTAATGTAGATAAAATGATTACACTGATCGTAATTCGTAATCCACCTAGGAACATAACAAGAAAATGGAACATTCATCATATCGTTCAAATTATGTGTTTTTATGTGACTATCATCAGCATTATTATCGGTATTATTGCAGATTAACTACATCCAAAAAAAAGGGTGTTTTTTTTTTAATTATATGTTTTTTGGGGTGTAGATTACGAATCTGAAATCCTTTTTCCGATGCCGACCGCCAAAAATGGATTTCAGATTCGTAATCTACACCCCAAAAAACATATAATTAAAAAAAAACACCCTTTTTTTTGGATGTAGTTAATCTGCAATAATACCTTATTATCAGTTCCAGAATTCAAATATTTTGTCCATATCCCCTCAATTTAATATACCTTCATTATATTATTCAATGAACTTATGAAAGAACTGGTCGTAGAAACGTTTTCTGTACCAATTTTTACTGACAATTTTCTTTCTAGAATTCTAGGGGTAACTACTTTAGGAAGAGTATGAGAGAAGTTACCCTAAATGTTATTTTTTACCCTGAATATAACTTGTGCGAGACTGGAGAAAGACCGCGCATAAGCACCGCGCTGCCAGTCAGTGCAGGATCCTAATCCATTATTCCGAATAAGAGATTCATTTTCTAATCCCTTATTCCGAATACAACTATAACATGAACCCAATAAGTCTTAATGGGATTATGTTCTAGTTAACAACCCCCGTTCATGGGTGGCCCAGTGGTTACATACAGTTCAGAGTACCAAGATTGGAGCAGAGAGGCGCGGGTTCGATCCCAGCTCTGTGCGTCAGTTTCTGGTCAGAATCGGCAAGGAGGCCGGGCGGTTAAGCACAGCAGAATTGGAGCAGTGAGTTGTGAGTTCGAGACCGCAAAATGCTGTGAATGTTCTGCGATGTTAAGAATCGGCGACAGGCCTACGGCTTAATGAACGCTGAAACCGCTATTATTATAATTTATTTTTTTTTTTATTGGGGTTTCATTATATAACTGCTTCCAAAGAGTCAACACTCACAACATATTCACCAATGATAACGCGATAACGCATTCACCGTTTACAACACCCTTACCATTTACAATTCGTTCATCATTCACAACACGTTCGCCATTTACAAGTCATGAACCTTCCGCAACACATTCCCAACACATACACCATATACATCACATTCACCAATCACATCGCAATTCCCAGGCTCACATCAAAGTAAGCGCAGCAGCACAGGCCGGAACATATATAAGAAAATTTAATGGGTCGCATTGTCCAAATAGCAACCAATTGATTCACCTTAAGAAGATACTAAAACGGAAAAGAAACAATATATTGGTTTGAGCTGAAATATATTAGAGAATTCGAAATTGTTGTTGTATAAGGGAATTAAAGAAGCTGGATGTACGTCTAAAATATTCGTGGAATTTACTAATTTGTTTACGAAAACGATACTTTAAGATAATGAAATTATGTATTATAGTATTTAAAAAGTTGAATTTAGAGTTAAATTTTTGTTAAATTCACTTCACTTTTTGCAGCAAATTCTGGGTTTGTTTGAACCGAAAATTGGACGCTTGCTAGCATCAAGAAGAGTGAAAGAAGAATGAAGTGCCAATTTTTTAAAGTGCGTCTCGTGATCGATAAAGAAAGATCAACAGACGCTCGTGGATGGGACAGTTTGGCAAGGAACACAGCAGAGTCCAGGGATAGAACAGTCAGGCTTGTCGCATAGAACACTTGAGGCTTATGACATCGAACAATTGAGGCTTATGACATCGGACACTTGAGGCTTATGACATCGAACAATTGAGGCTTATGACATCGGACATTCGAACACGTGAGGCTTACGACATCGGACACTTGAGGCTTATGACATCGAACACGTGAGGCTTATGACATCGGACACTTAAGGTTTATGACATCGGACACTTGAGGCTTACGACATCGAATACTTGAGGCTTATGACATTGAACACTTGAGGCTTACGACATCGTAAACATGAGGCTTATGACATCGAACACTTGAGGCTTACGACATCGAACACTTGAGGCTCATGACATCGGACACTTGAGACTTACGACATCGAGCACTTTAGGCTTATGACATCGAATACTTGAGGCTTACGACATTAAACACTTGAGGCTCACGACATCAAACACTTGAGGCTTATGACATCGAGCACTTGAGGCTTATGACATCGAATACTTGAGGCTTATAACATAGAACATTTGAGGCTAATTATATAGAACACATGACACTTGTGGCGCAGAACACATGAGGCGTGTGGCGCAGAACACATGGCACGTGTGGCGCAGAACACATGACACATGAGGCGTGTGACGCAGAACATGTGACATGTGTGGCGCTGAACACATGAGACGGGTGGCACAGCACACTTGAGACGTGTGGCGCAGCACACTTGAGACGTGTGGCACAGCACACTTGAGACGTGTGGCGTAGTACACATGAGGCGGGTGGCCAGAACACATATGACATGTGTGGCGCAGAACTCATTTAAGGCACAATGTTCGGTGCGGGTGAAAGTCTACGGAAGTGTTCGCTCAATATCGTCGTCCCCTCCTATATTGGATGTCGACACACGATCCTCAGCAACACTTCAGGGGCTACTCTGTAAATAAATAAATAGCGCTGCTGCTCTGAATATATCAAGTGGGCGAACTCAAAATTTTTACATATAATTTTTTCACAGCGAATATTTTTAGACGCAAACCGATTTTTTTTTTACAATTGCAATCGGTAAGCTGAATTCTTTTAGATGCGAGTCTAGTCCAAAATTTTTAACATCGTGAATCGTTAATTCATTCACGACGGATCTGGAAATTTTTGAACGTTTTAAGCCATGGGTGATATGTCCCTTTCTTGCGACTATTTTATATTTCTTTTTTTTTTTGCAAAAACATGAGAATTTCAAGCACTGGACGTTCAAGAATTAGATAACAACGGAGATCTAATATTTTTTCGACCCAGTAATGCAAAATTTTTATGGTTTTTAATTGATGAACCTCGATTTAAATAATAATGGAAAATTAATTGAAAGAAATATATTAATATAATTTTTAAGATACGTATGTATATGGCAGGTAAAAAGATTGCTCTTTTTACCCCTTGTTTTGATGAGATTTTTTTTCACACCTGTCCGAACGGCCTCTAATTTTTATCTAAATTACACGCGATTTTTTTAAGTTGAAAAAAAGCTACAGTTATTAGCTAAGTTTAAAAAAATAAATTTTTGCAATATTAATCGAGGAATCATACGTAATGCATGACGATTTATGATTATGCATTAAAATGTCAGTAGCATATTCACGTGCTGGGAGAATGCAGTACTACTAAAACTTCGCCCACACAACAGGCTTAAAACGGTTCGCTGTTTAATACTTAATGGATCTGTCACGTAATTTACAACAAATATTTAAAATTGCAAATATTTTATCGAAATATCTGCTATAACGTTTAAAGTTTGAATTCGGGTTACTTCACATACGAAAGTCTTTACTTCGATTTAAGGTTTATTTTTTGCAATACATTTGAATATTAGTTTTTATGTTCTTATGCATATTTAGTTACTGTTCATGTGTTACCAAACTTTTTATATTGCAACTACAATTGGAAAAATGTTGTATCTGATTGACATTTTCTACAGGTTTTCATTTACATAAATGCATAAAATTTAACAATATGGAATTCGACCATGAAATTCTGCACAAGAAAATGCTTTTTATTCTTTACTCATTCATATTCA